CCCCCCCCCCCCCCCCCCGCCCGACCACACACACACACACACACACACACACAGATACCCACTTTTCAACAGAACTTGGGAAGCGTTTGAGACTGATTGAAAGCCGGGCATGTGAGAAGAAAAATTCGCAACGTGCCACTGAAGATCACTTACTTGGAGAAATGCTACAGTTTTATTGTTAACTTCCTATCACAGGCAGAATAAAACAAACCACTCCAACTCATTAAAAAAAACACTTCTTCCCGTTTCTCGAGCCTAACGGCCAATTACACATTCCAAAAAGGAGAAATTTCTTTTATACATAGAAAATTATTTGGCTGCAAATATGTCCAAAGTATTCCGCATTCTAATTGAATTACTCTCCCAAGCCCTTTCATTCCGAAGAATGGTCAAAAAATTCCCGATTATATTTCTCAATTTGAGATTCCTTATGTCGCTATCCACTGTCGTGTTTCTGTCAGGCTAGGAAGCGATCTTTCCCGATAGGTCTAATCAATGCACAAGTATATCAGTATGATACGACTGACAGTTCAGTACAGAGTAAATATCCCCTCCTTTCCCAAACTCTCTCTCTCTCACACACACACACACAAATTTACACGCCCTTATCGCATTGGAACAACTGCCCAAATATCAAACTCCAACAGCCCTCCAAAGTTGTCCTTTGCAAAAGGGTAACTTCAAAAACAAAAACCGAAAGGATTGCTGGAAGTCAGAAACAAACACAGAAATTGCTGGAAAAGACTTGTTGTGAGGAAGGGTCGCTGGACTCGAAACGTTAATTCCTGATTTTTCATCTATAGATGCTGCCAGACCTGCTGAGCTCTTCCAACAATTTCTGCCACTAACTTCAAAAACAAGGTTCGCTCGCATTCCAGTCGATAGGTATCCTGGGAGAGGGGTTTACACTTAATTATAGTGAGGAAAAACCCTGTCCCAGATTTTTGGCCAGTTGTTTGACTGCCCGGTAAATTTCAGAGTAACTAAAACAAACAACTTTTATTTCTGTTCTGACGAAGTGTCACTCGACCCGAAACGTTAATTCTGCTTTCTATCTCCATAAATGCTGTCATATCTGCTGAGCTTTTCCAACAACTTCTGTCTCTGTAACTTCAAAAGCAAGTCCACTCGCATTCCAGTCAATAAATATTCTGAGAGAGGCGTGTACACTTCATTATAAAGAAAGAAAAGCTGCCCCAGCTTTTAGCCAGCTGTTGGGCAAACCGGCCAATTTCAGAGCAACTAAAACAAACAACTTGTATTAAAAACCGAAGGAACTGCTGTTGCTGTAAATCTAAATCAAAAACAAGAACAGAACTTGCTGGAAAAGCTCAGCAGGTTTGGAAAGGAATCAGAATTTCGGGTCGAGTGTCCCTTCCTCAGATCTTGTCTCCACTGATGCTGCCAGACCTGCTGAGCTTTTCCAACAATTTCTGTCTCAGTAACTTTAAAAACAAGTTCGTTCGCATTCCAGTGGATAAATATTCTGGGAGAGGGACTTAATTATAACGAGGAAAAGCCTGTCCCAGATTTTAGCCAGCCGTTCGACAGCCCGGTCAATTTCAGAGTAGCTAAAACAAACAAATAAACTTTTACTTTCAGGTGCAGTTTGTCATGGTGAAGTTTACTTCTAGCCAGCACTGCTCGTTCTAAAGGTTTCAGTGCAGCAAGTCTGAGGGGTTGTGTGAATGAATGAAAGAATGAATGAATGTCTTTAGGCAATGCACTGACAGCTCAGGGTAGGGGGGAACTCACCGCGTCCATAGGCAATGTGCAGCTTGAGCGCCCGGCCACTCTTGAGCACCGCGACGTGCAGGTACGTGAACCAGATGCCGAAGGTGAGCAGGACCAGCAGCAGGAGCAGTTTGAACTGTTTGCGGATCTTCTTGACGGGGAAGCGCCACATCCTTTTTTTTTCTCAGTAGGAGTGCTGCAGCAGCAGCCGCCGCCGGGAGCCCATCTCCCTCTGCACTGTCAGTGGAGGGAGAAAGACACACACACGCACACACACTCAGCGAGAGAGAGAGAGAGAGAGAGACCCAGAGAAGGGAGACAGCAGCGGAGCTTCCCCTCCACTCTCTCTCTCTCTCCCCGGTAACAGCCGCTCTTCTCTACTCAAACACACATCACACACACACCACCACCCCCCCACCCCTCCCCTACCACCGCCCCCCACCCCTCCCCACTCCCTTCACTTTGCTCACGGCCGCCACCACATCTTTCAAAGCGGTGCCCACCCTGTCATTCACTGGGAAAAGGCGGATGGGTAAGTCATTGGTCTGCCAGGCGGGGCTGTGTGTGCATCCCTCTCTCCGCTAGCCCCCTGCTCTAACCTCCCACTGTGTGTGTGTGTGTGTGTGTGTGTGTCTTTCCCCCCCGCCCGCCGGCGCCAGCAGCGGACTCCCCTGCACCCGTCTACCAACCCTGCCGAAAAATGTTACATCGCCGTCTCCTCTCTCTCCCACCCACCGCGCGTCACCTCCCGCTCACGGCCAATAAAACACCGGGAACGGCCGACAGGCAGCGGCCTCCACCAATAGGAGGCGGGTCCTGTCGACGCCATCAGGTTAGGTTGCATGCCCCCTTTCAGCACGGTGACAGCTACTAGCGGATTGTACCATGATACCGGATAGGGGGAAATCAAAGACAGAAGGTGGACTCAATTATCTCTTTTGGAGGAGAATGAAGGTTTAATTTTAAAACTACATTTCCGTAGTTTTTACAGTATGTTTTGTGATGAGCAGGGCTCAATTTTTTTTATGGTAGTGAGATTTTCTTCTGTTGTCATGCAATAAACTCTCCAAAACGCACTATTGAAAAGTACTAGGGTAAGTACTAGGACAATGCAGCATTCATCAGGCAGGACGTTTTACTCCGAAAGGAAACTTCTGTTTTTGCAAATTGAAAAGAGAACCCAAAATATGAAAGCGCGCAAATTCAACAAAATAAAACTTTAACATTCTTCCCTCTTGCCCATTTATTTTTGTCTATTGCATTTTTGTGGAACGCGAATATAACGTTCGCTTTTTAACCTATGGGACAAAATTTGCAAGAAAATGGCCTTGTGTTTATATAGCTCCTTTCACCATCGTAGAAAGGCTGCTTCCAGTCAATGAGGTACTTTTGAAGTGTTCTAATGTGTCAAAAGCAGCAATTTCGCACACAAAGCTCCACAAACAGCAAGGTCATTATGACCAAGTGGCTCATTTTAATTACGTGAAGACTTGCTGGAGGAACAGCAATATGTTTTAGTGATGTTGAATCAAATGGGGATAATTCTGTTGTTCATCTAAATCGTTCCACTGGATATTTGAAGTCCACCTGAGAGAAAAGTCATAGTCTCAGGGTTCCATTTGGAAGAGGGTATTTGTGATAATGCTACCAACTGGAGTGTCAGTGGATAGATATGGCCAGCTCCTGAACCTACGCAGTTTGACTGTAAAAGGCAATGAGCTATGGTTGACATTTAAAACTATTTAAATCTCTAAATTGGCATTTAAAAAGAAACAGAGCTTGTGGGAATGGGAGCAAGGAATGACAAGGTATGGTATCATCTTCGTGAAAATCGAGGGAGGGTGAAGAAAGGAGGGAGGCCTGGGCAGCTGTTGATCACTTCCTCCCATTGCAAAGGTGGGCGAGGACAAATATAACCCGTTCATGGAAGAACCGCACAATTAAAGTGCCATCTTTTACTTCAATAAAACGCAGCAGCCTGGTGTCAGTCAGCGATCAGTCTCTACAGTGAGAAGGAAGTTGCAAACCATGGGGCTTTTCTTTTTTAAAAAAAAAACTTTAAATCCAAAGCTCTCACCCCTGCAACTTGCCAAGAACAGCATGACTGCTGCCACTCAGAGTCAGAGCCCAAAATGTCTACTTCAAGACCCTGAGTAAAGTTCAACGTCCGGCTGAGCGCAGCTTCAACACAAGCAGTTGGAATTGCTCTTGTCGGGAATATTGAGTGAATTCTGTTTCATTATTTATTCTCTCTCCCGTTCCTCTGCTCACAAATAAAAGAACGTGTGATATTGAAGAGCTGCAAATGCACGCTTCGTGTTTAAGGGCTTATTAAAAAAATACTGACATACACAGTAACACGTTGATCCGGGTGTAAAACACGCTCATTAGTCCCCACGATTAACCCTTCCTCATATTGGAGCGGATCTCTCACCAATTTTGAGGTAAAATGTTTTTATAAAAAGGAAACCCGTCGCGTGTCTGAACGCACACAACAGCTTTATATTCAGGAATCTCATTCCTACCAAGTCCGTATGATTAATGACCCAGTGTGAACTCTTTATTTCCTCTTGGCTGATCAGCAGAAAGTGAAATCCAGTTCTGGAGAAAACGTGTGGCTGACTGTTTGGAGATCAGGGTTCACCACAGAGAAATTGGCTTGCTTTCTTTTTAGAAAACGCGGCACATAAACTGCACACCCCCGCTGGCATAAAACAACGAGGTTTGTTTAACCAGCGGCTCAAAATAACACCAAGTCAGAAGTCACACGACACCGTCCAACAGGTTTATTTGAAATCACAAGCTTTCGAAGCCGAGCCCCTTCTTCAGGGGACTTCACCTGTGAGGTGTAGGGATAGAGTAGATAGGAGAGTCGGCAGAGAGTTTTAAAAGCCAGAGGCCATAAATTCAAGCTACGTGGTAGAGGATAAGAGAGGATGTGAGGAAAAGCTTTTTTTGTGGTGGGTGTCTGGAATTCGCTGCCTGAGGCGGTGGTGGAGACAGAGACTGTAAACTATTTTTAAAAGTACCTGGATCCGCACTTTTAAGTGCTGTAAACTGCAGGGCTGTGTGCAGGAAGGGCACCTGGGTCAGCACGGACAAGTAGCCACCTGTGTTGTTATCATTTCTACGGCTCTGCTTATAGGTCCTGAAACGTGCATTCAATGAAGGTCCAGACCCCGAACCCACAGTGATGGGACCCTCGTCCGTTTACCCAGCTCATTACTCTCCTGACCACGTGTACTGAGCACCTACCTACAACAATAAAAACAGGCCCTTCTGCTGTCATCACTGGAGCCAAATGGGACCACAGCGTTGGGTTAAAACTTGGATTTTCTACCCAGGCAATTCCATCCCCCACCTGAAGTGAAAAAAAAAGCTGAGGTGCAACAGGCAGAGAGAGAGAGAAGCTGGAATCTGCAGTGAAATGTTGCTGTCAATGTTTGTGTGACACCTGCCGGCGATGCTGATATGAGCTGAAGTGAATTATTCACACCCAGTCCACACTGTCCTTAGTCCCTCTCTACCCCAGCTCAGCTCCTTCCTGCTGGTCTGCAGCTTCCACAAGTTCGCTTTCCGTAAAAAAAACTACAAGGTGAACAAAGTTGATGCATGAGTAGAAATGTGACCAATTGGCGGCAGGTCAAAGTTTGTTTCATCCCTAACCTCTTCCTGTTTTAGGGGCCTCGACCTCAAACGGGTCTATCCACAGGCCCCTGCTGAGCATTTCCAGCATTTCCCTCAGTATTTTGGACACTGGCAATGTTAAGTCTAGATCCTTCAGGCATCTGTTGAGATCATGGGGCGCTGCTGATCGGCTCTTCACCTCGAACTAGTTCCCCGGGGATTTCCCTCAATGCCTTCTGTCTCTGTCCCATTGCCATCCAAATTATTCCCAAAACCCCCCAAGATTCCCGAAATTAAAAAAAAGAATTCCGTCCCATTATTTTTGAACAAACGTGTTTTGGACGTGATTCAAGTAGAAATAAATTAGTACACGCTATTCCAGAGACAGGTTATGTGCAGTTTTACCAACAACAGCAATCAGTACTAAGGACCCGAAACATTAACTCTTTTTTTTCCTTCACAGATGCTGCCAGACCAGCTGAGCTTTTCCAGCAACTTTGTTTTTGTTCCCGATTTACAGCAGTCCTTTCGGCTTTTACGTGCAGTTTTACTTGTCAAATTAAAAGCGACGCTACACAGTGATACCGGGAGGCTGCAACGGTTGGGTTTTTTTTTCCCACTGGAGTTGAGTTTACGCAAAGGCAGCATCGCACAGCTCCCATTATCAACATTTTACAGGTTTCTACCAGGTATGTGTAACACTTTCCTGATGAAAGGCGGTTCAGAAACTTCACAGTGCAAATTTTGAGAGGGTTAGTTTTGGAACGTCGTGATTGTGAATGGAAGGGTGTTTGGATGCATCTTATGCCCTACATCATTGGGGTGAAAAAGAAATACCCTCTAGAAACTCAAAAGATTTAAAGCAATTATGCAACGCAGATGAATGTGAACGGAAAACTCCTTTTACTTGGTAATGAGCTAAAGGAAAAGCTCCAACATATGTCAGGATGCAATAAAAAGGCAGGTAGATTCAATGTCAAAACTTGGACCTTGTGATTAAGTTTCTGACTTAGAGGGCTTGTGGCGCAATGCTTGTGACCCTCCCTCTGGACCAAGAAGTCTGTGTTCAACTCCAACCTGCTCCAGAGGTGTGTAATAACATGGCTGAATAGGTTGACTCGGGTGATCCCTGGAGGATTGTCTTATGAGAGAGCTGATCTCATTGAAACATGTCAGATTCTTAAGGGGCTTGACAGGGTAAATGCTGAGAGGATGTTTCCCCACTTGGGAGACTCAAGGACCAGAGGGCATAGTCTCAGAATAAAGGGGCACTAATTTTAAGACTGAGATGAGGAAGAATTTCTTCTTTCAGAGGGTTCTAAGTCTTTGGAACTGTTTGCCACAGAAAGCTGTGGGGGCAGACCCCTTGAGTATATTTAAGGCTGAGGTAGACAGATAGATTCTTGATCAGTAGGGGAATCAAGAATTGGGAGAAAGGGCACAAAAGTGGAACTGAGGAATGTCAGATCAGCCTTTATCCTATTAAATGGCAGACAATGCTGGAGGGGCTGACTGGCCTATTCCTCTTCCTATTTCTTATGGTCTTAAGAAGCAAATAAATCAATGAAAGAAAATGGCCCAGTGAATATTAGGAAAAGTACTGAAAGATGCCAAATTAATTGTTATTTCTGCAGAACTTTTAGCAAGGGAGAAATACTACTTTTTGAGTTAATAGACTGGCTCTTTAATGCTTATGTGGTTGAC